CTCAGAGCTAGGATCTGGGAAGCTGAATGCAGGCAGCGCTGGGAATATCTGACCCAGGAAACTCAGGAATGCAGAAATGGATGGTTGGGGGTTGGTGGTGAAACACAGATTTCAGAGGATGGCGGGGTTAGAGGAAGCAACAGGGACAGGAAGGTGGAGTATTTTAAAATCATTCCATCGAACCCACTGGTCTAACCAGGAAATGTTAAGGACCTCGTGCCGCACAGTTATCCCCTTCACAAAATGACACGTTCATCCCTTCTCAGATCACTGGGCCGAAGTTACAACATTCAGCTATTCCCCCAGCTATGCCTTTAATCTAGTCTTTACTCCATTCATTTTAAACTGAGGGAATCAGCTCCAAACATCCTTCTCACCTTGACTTATCCCCACAGTTTCCCATTCACATACGAGGACAGTTAATGATATAACGAGGTGTAGAGCTGGATGAACACAGCAGGCCAAGCAGCATCAGAGGAGCAGGAAAGATGACGTTTCGGGTCTAGACCCTTCATCCAGCTCTACACCTTGTTCTCTCAGATTCTCCAGCATCGGCAGTTCCTACTATACCCGAGGGCAGTTAATGTCAGGGGAATGCAGTGAGCTGTACATCGCCAGTTGTAACTGAGTTACTTTAGCCTCAAAGTGAATCACTGACCTGATCACTTTCTGGAATAAACTACTCTAAACAGCAATTAGCACAAACCTTTCAATCCTCGTCGAGGGAGGCGATTGGGTCCTGAGCTTCTACGATTGAATCCCTTGCATTATTGAAGCTAAAACATGACGGACTCCCTCAGACACACACAAAGGCCCACATCCTCCGGTGGAATTCACGGCCCTTACCAAGTCTGAGATCAGGTTTCTGGCCGTATTGTATCTTCTGTCATGTTATAATCGTCCACTGCCTTTAAACCCAAAGGTCAAACAGCGGTGGAATCCTGCAGCACATAAAGAGGCCTTTCGGACCCCTGCGCCTATGCTGGCTCTTTGAAATCGTATCTAATTAGACCCCCTACCGCTGCTCTTTCCTGGTGGCCCCACAGTCTGTTTCTTATCAAGTCCGTACTCAATTCCCTTTAGAAAGTTACTGTTGAATATGTGGTGTCCGCACTTTGGGACAGAGCATTCCAGACCACAACCGCTCACTGCTTTAAAAACTTCCCCTCATGTGTGAGGAAGGGTCATCGCACCCGAAATGTTAACTCAGTTTTTTCCTTCACAGATGCTGCCAGACCTGCTGAGCTTTGCCAGCAACTTTGTTTTTGTTCCTGATTTACAGCATCCGCAGTTCTTTCGGTTTTAATTTAGTATCCCCTAATTCCTTCCCTGCTTCTCTGGGGTAATTATCTCAATCTGTCTCCTCCGGTTCTACATCGTCTAACTCTACTCACTTATGCTGTTAACACCCAATCTACGTCCACTACATCTCCTCAACATTTCCTATAAGAAACTGGGAGCTTTCTCTAGCTTCCCCACACAACTGAAACCTCTAGTCTTGGTCTAATTTTAGAAATTCCCACTGCCCATTTTCCCATTACTCCATGCACTGTACTGAAAGTGTACAGTCTTCTTTAATCACCACGAATTGTCATTTTCTTTTCTGTTCATTACTATTACCTATAGCAAAAGAGATTTCATCAGGTTTGTTCAACAAACTCAAAAATAATACATTTATTGAAAACAAATTATATTTTTACAATAGTAGCAGTACCAGTTTCCATCTAAACTACTATGTAGACTTAACCTAGATCCCTATTTATCTCAAACATACACACATTCAGACACAGGGAAGGCAAGATGACCCAGCTTTGTTGACGTATTATGGGTAAGCAAAAATAAGTTTAAAAAAGGTGCAATGCTCCATAGGTCAAGGGTTAAAGGCCGAAGATAGAATGAGCTAACTTCATAGAATCAGGGTAAAACTCATCCGTTTTTTAAACTAACTTCAGGAGATCTGTAGAGATATATTGACATTGGTTCAATAAGTGTGTTCAATGCTGGCATAGACAGATTTTTAATCAGTAAGGGAGAAAAAGGTTATGTGGATATTTCAGGAAACTAGTTTTGAGGATTATCTGAACAGCCATAATTTCATTGAATGGTGGAGCAGACTCAATGGGCTGGATGGCCTACTTCTGCGGCTATGTCTTATGTCTAAAAGGTTGTAAATTCCTGGATTTCTCAACCACAGAAAGCTATGGATGCTAAGTGGTTGGATATGTTCCAGTCAGAGAATCATAGAATCCCCACAATGTGGAAATAGGCCATTTGGCCCAAGTCCACATTGGCCCTCTGAAGGCCATCCCACCCAGTTCTGTCTCCCTTCCGTATCCCTGTAACTCTGTATTTTCCATGGCTAATGCACCAACCTACACATCCCTGGACACTATGGGGTAATTTAGCATGGCCAATCCACCTAACCTGCACATCTTCAGACTGTGGGAGGAAACAAGAGCACCTAGCAGAAACCCAGTCAGACGTGGAGAGAACGTGCAAACTCCACTGGAATCAAACCTGGGTCCCTAGCACTGTGAGGCAGCAGTGCTAACCACTGAGCCACCGTGTCAAGGTCAATGGATTGATGGGTATGAATGGAGTTAAAGGATATAGGGATAATGTAGAGAAGTGGAGATAAGTCAAAGATCAGCCATGATCTTGGTGAATGGCAGAACAAGTCCAAAGGTTCAAAAGCCCGCTCTGTCTCCCATTTCTTAATATTTATGTAAATTATTCAATTTATTCATCTGATATTTACACCCATCTTAAGTGTCTAAAGTCTACAAAACATTGTAATCTCTGCAGAAGCCATAGGAGGCTACTTTGTAGGACAGGTTACAAGCTACATTAAGCAAAAAAAGCTTACGATCATCATCTTTCTGAATAACAGTGTAAAAAGTTCATTTAACTCAGTCAGGGCAGCGAGCTAGGATGTGGAAATGAATTGGAAACGTTAATGTAGCTGAAGGACACAAAAGCTTCCTCCCATTCCAAATGAATGTCTTGGAATGAAAAAAAAATGTCAACAGTGAGCTTTCCTGCTATTTCAGTGTAATGTCAAAATCTTTTCTTAATGCACAGATACAGACACAAAACGAGCACCAAGAGCTGAAGCCAAAATTCGATACGCTGGCCTTGTTGTTATTTTGATCTTCTTGTGTTTCACTGTGAAAACACAAAGAGGTAAGTGGTCATATTGTGAGACAGTCTCAGGTGCCCTGACATGTGCTGACTCTGCGTATATTATTGCAACACTGATGGAAAATGCTCATCTGTAAGTCAGGGAAATTGATGAAGGAATTTTTTTCTCTGTTCCAAGTAAGTTCAGTTCAGTAACATGCAAATAAATCGATCTCTTTCTTTGTTCCTTGTTTGCTTTTGTAGTATTGTCTACTTCATTTCCACCCTTTTGTTGTCTTTTACCCAAATTGCTCTACAGTACAGCTGTAGGGAGGGGTAGGACAGGAATTCTAAGGGGATTGAGTGAAAGAAATGCTTTATATCCTTGTGGTAGTGCCCCAGCCTCTGACCCAGGAGACCCAGCTTCAAATCCTGCCTGCTCTAGAGGTGTATAATAGCATCCGAACAGCTTTATTAAAACAACTATAGGGGGGTAAAAAATAACAAAATAAGCGAACAGAGAGATTTACTGAATAGCAATAGTTTGTGATGTTAATTTTGGTCATTCAGAAGAGAAAATCCTAATTTACAATTTAATTAACATGCACATTCAGTGCAGACCCATGAAATTCAGTCACATAAATGACCTGTGAAAATTAAATGGCAATATGAGATCTTCAACTTCTACATTAATCCAACTTTTATTAAACTGCAGGATTATTTTATCGTGGAGGTATTGATGTACAATAGTGTATTGTAGGGGCAACAATTAGCCAATCCCCAGGGAAAATTAACAGAGATTTTTCCCCTTTAGGTTGTAATCGAACTCAGAAACAAACAGTAAAGAAAAAGACTGGTCAGAGTTGTTGGGTAAGTGAAATATTCTGTGGAAAGGTAAGAGTATTGTTTTTTTCACAAAATTATTACAGTGCGGAAGGAGGCTATTTGGCCCATCATGCCTGCACTGGCTCTATTATCTAGTGCCAATCGCTTGTTTATTTTTCCATAACACTTGCCTTTCCTTTTGGGATGTACTTCTTGCAAGAGATTTACATTTAATGTGCAATTATAAAACTACTTAGTGTTCAATAGACTTCTTTTCCTGAAAAATCTAGAATTACATTGCAAGAGGAATAACCAATTGCGTGGAAGGTTCTTATTGGGAACTACTTGCATCATCCTGAGCATAGCTTTTAAAAAAAAGTATTTGTTTTTATTCGTTTATGGGATATGAATGTGCTGGCTAGGATAATTCTATCATTTATTGCCCGTCCCTAGTTACATTGAGAAAGTGGTGCAGAGCTTCCTTCTTGAAATACTGAACTCCATCTGATGTAGGTAGACCCAAATGTCATTAGGGAGGGAGTTCCAGGGTTTTGGCCCAAGAACACCAAAGAAATTGTGATATATTTCCAAGTCAGGATGTTGAGTAGCTGGAAGGGAACTTGCAGGTGATAGTGTTTCAATATATCTGCTGCTCTTGTCCTTCTAGATGCTAATGGTCATGGGTTTGGAAAATTCTGTCTAAGGACCTGTCATGAATTTCTGCTATGCATCTTAGATATTGCACACTAAGTATCGATGGTGGAGGGAGTGAATGTGGTGTCATTCGAGCAGCTAATTTATCGTGGATAGTATCAAGCTTCTTGAGTGTAGTTGGTGCTGAATACGTCCAGGCAAGTGGGGAGTATTGAACCACACTCGTGACTTGTGCCTTCTAGAAGGTGTTGAGGTTTTGGTGAGTTACATGCTGCAGAATTCCAAGTCAGCTGTTACCTGCAGAATGTTAATAGTTGGGAATACAGTGATAGTAACTCCATTGAATATCAATGGGCAAAAGTTAGATTCTGTCTTGTTGGAGATGGTCTTTGTCTAGCATTTTTGTGGCATGATTGTTATTTGCCAACAGTCAGCTGAAACCTGGATATTGTCCAGTTCTTGCCGCATTTGGAAATGGACTGCTTCAGTATCTGAGGAGTTGTGAACATGACTGAACATTGTGCAATCAAGAGCAAGCATCTTCATCTATGATGGAGGGAAGGTCATTGATGAAGCAGCTAAACATAGTTTGGCTGAGGACACGACCTCTGAGGAACTCTAGGAGTAGCAGTGAGGACCTGAGATGATCGACCAACTACTGCAAACATGTGCTAGAAATGGCTCCATCTGTTGGAATTTTTCTCTGCTTTCCATTGACTCCAGTTTTACTTTTCCAGCTGTGAAGCCCTTTAGAAAGTTGACCAGAGATCTGGATGTTGAACGAAATATATTATTATCCTATGATTTCTGCGTGTCAGTACGGCAGTAACCATCCATTACAATGGACTGGCATCCAAACCTTTTTGTAATTGGAATAAAGCAAGTCTGTGTCATTGCATCACCTCTTCACTATCACCTCAATCTGGTGTTACGACAAAGAGGCAGACAGTAGAACCAAATCAGCTTTACAACCTCTATCTTCACAATACAGTAAAATTAAACTGTCAAAGATGCCCAGATAGTCACTCCAATGATCCTAACCAGACTTTGAATAATCAATCCTGGACTTTGTGAATAATTAATTTCCAGACTTAACTATTCATTAAATACACAATAACTTTAGCAGAGAGAAAATTAGACAGCACAACAATCTGATTAATATCTGTGCTTTAAACCAGAAGCATTCGTTTTCAGCCTCCAGTCACACAAATGATTGTCAAAAAAAAAGCTAAGGGATAAATGAAAGAAAATAACAAAATTGGCCAAATTACTTTCACAATGCCTTTCACAGTGCATTATTTCACAATGTAGGGTCTACAGTTACTTATTGGAAAAGTTGATCAGGGTCACTGTCTCAGTTCACCCAGGCAAAGACAACAATAATGCTAACTCAGCTTTCTACTCTTTAGACTTCTGGACGTTGATGTAGCAGAATAAGTAGGGAGCTTTCAAATCTTCATGCTATATCAGTAGCAACCAAAAAGACATCTTTCAGAAATTTTAGTTCAAAAAAACAACTTCAATTCTGGTTCCATCCTGATTGTCTGATTGACTCTTTCCGAGGCCTTGCTTGTCAACTGTCATTTGTCGTTTGAACATAGGGTCCTTTCCAGACTTGCTGGAACCAATTCCCAAATACTGACATCATCAATGGCCATCTTCTGCCAGCTGTTTGAAAACAATGCTCCTCCCATTGTTCCTGTAACTATTAGAACATTTTTAATGAAGGCTCATCCTGCCTCCTGGCCTGGCCTCACAAACAAACAAAACTTGATTGGCCTGTTCTTTTCCTTTAAACACAAGCTGTGCCAAAGTCCATGGGTCATTTCTAGTACACAAAATACAAAATTGATAAAAAAGTAAAAACAAAAATAATAAAAAGTTAGCAAAGGACTAACACTGGTCATGGAGGTTCTTCAGAACCAATTTCTCCAACAGGTCATGATTGAGTTTTAATTCAACAGAAAATCTTCAATCTCAAAAGGCTGAGAACTAAGACTAAGGTGACCATTCAGCACATTCATAACTTATTATAGGCATAACATACTATCAGTGACTCTGACTGCCCTCAACTTCTTTAGCTCTGTATACAAAAGGATGGTCTCTTACACAACATCAGCAAGACCAAAATCCTTCACCAATCCTCCCCTATATCTCCAGCTATTACTTTTCGCAGATGGGACTATAGAAATCATGACACTTGTCTAGTTCAGCTTTCTCAAAAGGTCACTATTGAGAAAAAGGCCCATCACAGAATGAACCTTCAATTTTATATAACGTGGCTAAAGAATCAAGATAATAATAGCTGAAAGGTGAGAAATTTCTAATTGGCATATGCTTAATTGCTCGATTTTTTCTACACAATGGTAAGGTGCCTTTTTATACTTGCTTGTGAACTCCTTCTGACTCTTTGTTTGACCACAGAAAAACAGCTAGCAGTTAAATGGAACTTTAAGTTTCAGGTTAATGTTTGTGGGCAAATATTTTCTTAGCCCTTCCTTCCAGAGCATAAGGTGTTTACTTCTTTAGTGCTTAAGTAACCGCAATAAATGTTCCAGTAATATGTCCCAGTTGGTGTTGAGCGTAGGTTGTGCCAAGTCTTAATTTTTATTTCCATTCAATATTTACTCAAAACCCCGGCAATGCTAAGCAATATGAAGTTATCAACTAACATCAAAACATGAAAATAACTGAGAGGAAACACAAGTGACCACTTAACTGACTGATTGTGCTGCATTACAGAGTGTGAGAATTTAAAAAAACATCCTGTTCAAACTGACCTCCACCCCTGCAACAAAATTGGCAATAATGGTCTCATCTTAAAATCCTTCTCACTCGTTCATTATAATTTTCAGTTTGGGAGAAGTTCCAGTCAACTTCAAGTCAGGGTAAACCTGGAAATAAAGATTAAAAACTGGAACCACCTTATCTCAATGGCAGCTGAGATGTACATTACATAAACACTGAAGAATTAACTGCTTTGTTCTCTGGACGGGAAGAGCTAACAAGTTAGGGTGGTAAGGTTTATGTAGGCCAATGCAACTGACACCTGTGTTTCCACTGGTCAGAAAATCAGAATGCTCTACCACATGTTAATGGTACACAGAACTTTTAGTAACACAATTAATACTATTTACAGTCCCCTGAGATAACTTAAGTTCCCTGTAATGTCGGCTCTAGTCAGTTGCTGAATGCAAGGTAACCAGAGTAGGGACAGACAGAACTAATCAGTTCTATGTTCTTCACAGTACACAACGACTTAATAGCTCACATGTGTCATTTCCAATCTGAATGTTTACATAGTCAACTTCAAATAAAATGTTGAAGTTGTACATGCAACAATAGGAATTGTGGCCATACACAGGATTTTGATTTAAGCAAAGATCTTTTAGCAAAGATCTATAGCTCGGGTTGTGGGTGAGGTTGTTGACTTGCTCACCGAGCTGGCTTGTTCTCGTTCAGACGTTTTGTCACCATCTAGGTAACGTCATCAGTGAGGCCTCTGATGAAGTGATGTTGTTCTACTCCACTTGGAATTTATACTGTCCGGTCTGTTATGGTGAGTAGTGTCATTTCCTGTTTTGTTCTGTATGGGTTTGTATATGGGTCCCAATTCTATATGTTTGTCGATTGCATTATGGGTTGAGAACCATGCCTCTAGGAATTTCCGTGTGTGTCTATGTTTGGCTTGGGCTGCTATGGTTATGTTGTCCCAGTTAGACTGATGGCCTTCATTGTCCGAGTGTACTGATATAAAGGAAAGTTTGTCGTGTCATTTTGCTGCTGGCTGATATTCATGTATTCTGATGGCTAGTTTCCTTCCTGTCTGTCTGATGTAATGTTTGTGGCAGTCGTTGCATGGTATTTTGTAAACTACATTGGTTCTGCATGTTGTGGGAATGGGGTCTTTAATCTATGTCGTAGAGTCGCTGTGGGCTTGTGTGCCACCATGATTCCTAGTGGTGTTAGGAGTCTTGTTGTCAGTTCTGATATGTTCTTGACATAGGGCAGTGTGGCCAATGTGTTAGAGCATACCATGTCCTCTTGTTGTTGTGTGTTTAGTAGGCACCTGCAGATGAAGTTGTGGGGATATCTGTTCATAGCGTAGATTTTGTATAGGTGCTCTTCCTCTTCCCTGCGTAGTTCTGGCATGTTGCAGTGAGTGGTGGCCCGTTTAAATAGTTTCCTAATGCAACTTTGTTTGTTGCCTTTGGGGTGGTTGCTATGGAAGTTGAGAATTTGGTCGGTGTGTGTTGCTTTCCTGTGTACTGAGGTTTGGAATTCCCTGTTGGTCATAAGTTCTGACGTCCAGAAATGGAAGATGATTGTTGCTTTCTTTTTCTCTTGTGAGTCTAATCCTGGTGAATACATTGTTGATAAAGTGGTGCATCTCTTCTAGTTTGTTGTGCTTAATAATGGCAAATGTGTTGTCCAGGTACCGGATCCACAATTTAGATTGAATGTGGGAGAGGTTAGTGTGTTCTAGACTTTGCATGACTGTCTCTGCAATGAGTCCTGAGATGGGTGACCCCATGGGTGAGCCATTGATCTGTTTGTATACTGGACCATTAAAGACGAAGTGTGTGATGAGGCACAAGGCTAGTTGTTTGAGTATGTTGTCATTGCTGATGGAGCTACTAGAGGAAGCAGGAACACAGACCAGCAGCGGTATGATAGGGGAAAGTTTTGCTTACACGTTGCTTGCAAGCTCGACATGAAAGCCCAAAACATTGATATGTCCTTACAGAGGAAAACGAGCAATGCCTCTTTTGGGCCAGCATGCACTTCCTGGCTTAGTAACAGAAGCTACTGCTGAAAGCAACCCAAAATTACAATTGGTGGCTTCATGTGTGGCAGTTGTGGCAGAACCTGCCTCTTAAGGATTGGCCTGTTCAACCATCAGCAAAGGTGCATGATATAAAGACATCTAATCTGGAATGGGAGAGATAGTAGGAACTGCCAATGCTGGAGAATCTGAGATAACAAGGTGTAGAGCTGGATGAACCCAGCAGGCCAAGCAGCATCAGAGGAGCAGGAAAGCTGACGTTTCAGGTCTGGACATCTGGAATGGATTGTTTGTAGATTGTCCATTACTGTTTACAGATAGAAAGATGCCATTAAAAAAAGCATAAGGTTATAAATATAAAAAAGATGTATAAGTATATATGTATTATGTATATCAAAGGTCTTAAGTTTCATATCAATGACAACACACAAATTGATATCCTAATCAATATCTACCTCCCATGCTTGAGAATAATTGCATTTAGAATCACACGCTCTGACTATAAATGTTAAGTCAGTGAATACTGAGCAGTTAGCTTTAGCTAAACCAAGTTGCACTCCAATGTCTGATGCAGAGATTATGGATTCAAGATTTAGAAAAATTAAAAGAACAGGTGAAAGCCTGGCTATAAAACCCCTACCTCTTCAGGTCTTGTTTAAATGTAAACCAATCTGGTGGCGAGGATAACAGAAGGAATGGTGAGAATGATGGTAGGAATATAAATAAAAACATTGTAGGGGACGACATGGAGAAATTGATGGAGCTGGGTGCAGAAAAGGGTTTGATTTTGGAACAAAACTAGTGGAATTGAAAATATAACTCACCAGGTCTGAAGTCATGTAACATAGATTATTGAAAGAAATCAGCGAGGTGATAACAGAGACTGCCTGTAATTTTCCAGATATTCTTAGATTTGAAATTACTCTAAGGCTCTTGAGAGAGACCACTGTATTACTCTATCCAGGAATAGCGAGAATAATTTACTGAGTAATTATGGAAACCTCATCTAATTTTAGTTTGGATTAAAAAATGTGTATAAGTAAAATCATAGAATCCCTACAGCGTAGAAAGAGTGTGCACTGACCCTATAAAAAGCATCCTGCCCAAACCTAGCCCCAACCTGTCCAGGTAACCCACATTTACCATAGCTAATCCACCAATTCTATACCTCTAGACACTACAGACAATTTAGCATGGCCAATCTATCCAATCTGCATATTTTTGGACTGTGAGAGGAAACCAAAGCACTCAACAGAAACCCATGCAGACACAGGGAGAAAATGAAAACTCCATAGAAACAGTCACCTAAGGCTGGAATGAAACCTGAGTCCCTGGTGCTGCGAGGCAGCAGTGCTAACCACTGAGCCACTGTGCCTCCCGATGGCCAAGTCAATCAAAACTAATCAGTGTGGATCAAAGTGGAAATTATTGAGTTGACTACCTGTTGTACAACCCATCCTATATTCTGCACTCTCTGCTTCAGCAGAGCTGAATATTGAGCAGGGCAGAGAACTGACAGATGGTTTGGTAACACCCAATTTGCTCCACAAAATAAGATGAATTTGAACCTCACAAGTTTCTACAGAACTAATTTGATGGATTGCTTGAGCTGTCCCTTCGCTTGTCAGCTACACCCAACAGTAAAGATATGCTAGAACTTCCTGGTTGTAGCACTCTGTCTACTCCCTCAGTTCTCTTTTCATGATAGAGAAGAACTGTCAGGGCTAAGAGCCACATTAAAATTATCAGACTATGATTGTTGCACACAATAAAACAGCAAAGAGTCAGCATTAACCTGCCCCTTTTCATAATGTTACTGTATTATCTGACATGTTTACTTGGGAGGTAGAGCATGGATCATGAAGAAATCTTTCCACTTCATTATGATCTGCAATGCTTACAGTTTACTGAAATTCTACTATTTCATATGTTGAAACAGAGCGAACAAAAAGTTAGTTATAAAACCAGAAGTTGCCAGAGAAGCTCGGCAGGTCTGGCAGCATCTGTGAAGAAAAAAAAGAGTTAACGTTTTGGGTCCGGTGACCCTTCCTCGACTGGGTGTATGAGACAAATTGTACCTTTGGTCAAAGATGTTAAAAGGGCAATATTGAATTAGCTATATCTTTTACACCTCAATCACATCTGACTTTGCTCTCTACTGAAATTAAAACTTTAAAGTTACTTATCCACACTTCCATCCAATATTTCAACACACCGCAGTACACTTCATCATGACTTCAGGCATTGGCAGTTTACCAGGACTACTTATACAAAAGAACATCCTAATGTACGTCTTAAACAAAAAGCCTTTAAAGCAAAATCATAAAAAATCAAATTTTTAAAAGACTATGTGAAAAACAGGCCAATTGAGAATGTGCAAACCACCGTCACTAAAACGCGAATCATAAAGTCAGATGTACCAAATTCGTACAAGGGAGATATGGGAACAAAATCCTGAGGTTACTCCTGTTTATTCAGAATTAAGTACAGCTAATATATTATCAGAGAAAAAGTAATTACATAATACATTACCTCTTCTCAAAAACAATTGAAAATTACAAGATTAAATGTCGGAGATGTTTCTCTGTTAATAGTTCGTCTCCTCTTCCACTTAGTGTTATTCAATTTATTTATGTGATTTATCTAAGCAACTGCTGATAAATTTCTGACTTTCTTTCTGTTCTTTAGTTTCAGGATTCATTATCGAGCAACCCTGTTGTGACATTCAGTGAGATGAAGTTGTAAGAGTCTACGGGAGCTACAGGACAGAAGATGTACGCTACCGATGAGATTACTGAACATGCTCGGATTCAGATACGGAGGACCTGATTATAACTTAATGATTATACAGTTTATATTTTTCCACTCTGTGATAATTATTATGCTAACATATAGTTTAAGTATAAACCTACCATAATGGCTACAAGTGAACTATAATTGATTCTCCAGTCGTAAATATAAAATCCATTTTTTTTTCTGCCTGTGTTTCATAGCTATGTTTATTTCACAGAACACTTTAAAGCCTTCGAGGGAATTGTAGCACAGTATGGCCAGATGGGAGAAGTCCAGATTAGAGGTTTTACGAGATATGAAAGTTTGTTTTTGGACAAGTATGAAAGGCTGTAAGACTGTGATAAGCAATGTTCAAATTACTGCCTGAGAATTTATCAATTATGTTGCGATGAAACTATGAGATATGTACATACGGATTTCAATATTCATTTGTTACAAGTCTGGGGTTCTTGGAATTCGAAGACAAATGTATCGGTTTGTCTGTGTGTCTGGAGCTAACAATTAGCTTTAAAGGAAATACAACATCCATAATCCTCAGCAGGAGGACATTACCCAGATTTCTTCACAAGCTGCCTCCAGGGTCAACGGAGAAAACTTTGCACTCTCAGATATGAGAGGGTTATCGGCTTAGAGCACTAAGTCAGGCTATGGAGAGATATAAGGGGCAAATTCTGACAAAGAGATTTGTTGATTCATAAAATGCATTGCTAAAGGGTGTAATGTAGCAGAGAATGCTGAAATATTCAGTTGATGCAGAAGAAGATGCAGAGTTATGCGATTGTATGGGTCACGGCAGATAATTCCTTCTATGAAGGAAGCCCATATGAAATTTTAGAATTGTGGAAAATAAAAGGTCAGCCTTTAGATGGCAGCATATGAGCATGCAAAGAATATTGGCTGAGTAACAGAAAGCAAAGAATGGATTTTAATTGGTCTTTTTCAGGGTGATGAGATATATCAAGTTGAGTTCCAAAGGGATTTATAATTTACACATATAACATAGATGAGGGATGGAAGGTTGCCAATTTTGCTGATAGCCCAAAGATAGTCAGGAAAAAATAAATTGTGAAGAGGAGACCAAGAGGTTAGAAACAGATATTGACAGCTTAAGTGAATGGAGAAGGATATGGCAAACAGAACATAATGTGGGAAAATGCAATGTTGCCCATTTAGGCAGAAAGAAGAGAAAAACATATTATCTAAATGGTACAACCATAGGTAGTAGGACCAAAAGTAGGCTTTTCAATCCATTAAGTTGTTCTGCCATTCAATGAAATCATTCACAGCTGATCTGATAATCTTCAACCCTACTTTCCTGCCTTTCCACATAACTCTTGATAAAAATCCATCTCAGCCTTTAATGACTCAGCCTCTGCAGCCCTTTGTGGTAAAGAATTCCACAGATTCACTACTGTCTGAAAGGGGAAAAAAAATCCCTCACACCAATCTTTGATGCATGCATTTAACTCCTTGAATTTATTTACCCAATGCCAGTTTTCTTGTGGTTCAGGTAGTAATCCTGAAGTCATTACCTAAGGGGATCTGCTTTCTAATTTAGCCCCTATCTATTCAATATCTTTCAGCAAAACCATCTTTCGTGCCCTAAAATGTAATCAGCACGGTTGGGACTGCCCATTGCTGAAAGCAGCACAAAATGGCTGAAAGTAGTTTCCAGTTGACCAAGAATAGCTTGTTTGGTATAGTTTATATAGAAGTAAATCATAGGTTAGAATAACAGTAGCTCTGCAGGAAGAATATCCAAGGAAACAAGATTAAGGTAGTACACAAAGTGTCTTGTTACAGACACGTAACTACAGTTGGTTATAAGGAGACAGTTGGATAAGGACAACCTTGTGTATGCTATTAGAAAATTTCCATACCTAGCTAACTTAAAGTTTGAGATATTCATCACAAATAGATTTACTCTAGTTAAGATTTCCATGTAATCATAGTTATAGGTTTTGACATATAACTTTAAAAAAGACGTAATAAGTGTTAAAGAGATTTCACTAAAAATCTTATGGACAAGACAGTGTTAGACGGTAAAGCACACTACTAGCAGGGACGATTGAGTTAGAGAAATCAGTAGTATTGGAATGTGGTTACATACAGCATGCATTGTGAAAGCCCCAAGAATAAAGATAAGGGTATCTGGTAAATATCATGATATTGTAGAATATCAGTTGCTGACCACTGACCACTGATTAATTTGGTTGGGTGTGTATGTAATTAATTATTAATATGATTGGTCTGTAGTTGCCATGCGTGGGCTGAAAACAAATGTATAAAAATGCCTGTCCTTCCTTTGTTCATCGAAAAAGCTTCTGACCCCCAGAGGTTTCTTCCGACCGGTGTAATTGCAATAAACTCTTTAATGCTGGAGGTGAACTGTGGGTGTCGAGTGATTTATTTAGTTCCACTGCCCCAACAAGGACCAATTTGGATAGTGAAGTGCTTATGAAATTGTGAGAGACCTGCGGAATTTGGAGATGAAGAGTGAGCGGGGTTTCCTTGGGCTTGGATCACAAGACGTTAATTGGCAAACTGACACCTCTGTCTGTGTACAGGTGATATCAGACTGTCTCGTCCTGTTGTGTATATGTAGGTCAGACTGTCTCCTCCTGTTGTGTATATGTAGGTCAGACTGTCTCCTCCTGTTGTGTATATGTAGGTCAGACTGTCTCCTCCATCATTGTACAGTTCAGATCAGACTGTTTCCTCCCTGCTGTGTACAGGTGAGAAAAGGCTGATCCCTCCCCCTGTGTACAGGTGATGACAGACTGTCCCCTCCCGCTGTGTACAGGTGATGATAGACTGTCCCCACCCCCGCTGTGTACAGGTGATGATAGATTGTCCCCACCTCATCCTGTGTACACGGGATGGCAGACTGTCCCCACCCCGCTGTGTACAGGTGATGATAGACTGTCCCCAAACCCGCTGTGTACAGGGGATGGTAGACTGTCCCCACCCCTCCTGTGTACAGGGGATGGCAGACTGTCCCC